AGGATCACTATCCAGCACTCGAAACAAATGTCAAGATCAGGCTTGAGGAGTTGACGTTAGGCGATGGCGTGGAAGCTGGAGGGACGCTCTCCTCGCTCATTTCCAGCAGTCGTCACTCGCTCGCCCACCTGACTTTGGCGGATCCTCGAGTGAGCGGCAGTGGTCTCCGCCTTTTCCAACTGGCGGCACCAAGCCTTGTGTCCCTAACTTTGTCGGCCCACGCTCACTGCTTCGACCACGACGCATCCGCCGTCACCCGTTTGTACGACTCGTGCGGAACTCTCGAGCGACTCACCCTCGATCTTCACCGTTGTCTCCTCATGCCGCTCCTCTCATCCACCATTCGCGTCTCAAAATTGATCTTCATCGACTCTTACGCTAAAGAGCACCACCTCCAACTCCTCAGACAACTCGTGACGGATACTCAAGTCGTGGCGGCTGGGTGTTTGGAAGTGATTGGGCCGAGGTATCCGGAGGTGACGTGGGTTTGGGATGAGGTGAGGGAAGCGTGCAAAGAAAAGGGGGTTGACTTTGTGTGGATGGAGGGATAGGCTCGGGGAGGAAGTTAAAGGGGTAGTCTGGGAGTTGCAGGAGATATGGGTTGCAGATGTGGTGTGACGCCGGACGGTCAGCTGTTAACGCAACGCGGAAAAATGATAAACATACCAAATAGTCGAGCTCTATTCAGCTGAATTGTTCTCGGCTTGATTGCCTCCACTTGCAGCGCTACATTGACAAAATACCACGTCATCGGCTTCACCTCGAGGCACCCACTGTGGAAAAAGTCCAGACATCTTCTCAACATGTTTTGACTGTAGATTTTAACTGAGGACAAGCTCAAAAAAGAAGCCATCGCTGTTGTTTGACCGCGTGCCGTTGTTGTTCTCCGAGGAGTCGCGCAGGAGCTCCACGACGGAACTTCGAGGCAACGCCTCTCTGCTTCCTACCACTTTCATCGCCACTGCCAACAAAAGATCAGAGGAGATCGAGTCTATCACTAAAAACTTTCAACACCTAACAAGAATCAGTCCCAGCCATCACCGAGCAGCAGCTGCAATTCCTCGCACCTCCATCGCCTCAGGAGCCCACCTCGTCCTCGCCCGCCTCCGAACGCTCGCAAGATGGCCACATTTCAATCCTGTCCGTCCGAGATCCTCATCAAGATCCTCGAGCACAGTATCGAGTGGTTCGACTGGGACTGGGGGTTCGACGACGAGTCGCGCCGACTCCACCTCTGTTCGACGGCCCTCGTCGCTCGCAACTGGACCAGGCCGTCGCAAATGCTTCTGTGGAGGGAGATGAGTGTGGAACAGGACGAGACTGTCGTCGAGAGGCTGATTGGAGGGACGACGCCGGGACTGTATCGCACCAAGAAGCTCCGCGTCGACTGTGTTCAGTCGACGGAGATTCTCGCGTTACTCGGCCATCTTCAAGCAGTCGACGAGTTCATCCTCTACAATGCGGCCATGCGACCGTCTTACTTTGAGTCGCCTGGTTTGAGCAGTCTGTGTCACTCCCTCGCTCGTTGCAAACGGCAGCTGACGCGATTCCTCTTGCATGCAGAGCTTCGCCGGCTAGTGCTCGACGAGGTCAACGAGTGGTCACCTGACCAGGAGGCCAACATCAAGATTGGCATCGAGAGATTGGAGCTTCGCCATCGTGTGGAAGCCGGGCCGACGCTCACCTCGCTCATCGAGAGCAGTCAAGACTCGCTCACGCACCTCTTTCTTCGCCACGTCGAGTTGACGGAAGACCTTCTCGACGCTTTGAAACCTGCCGGACCAAACCTCGACTCTCTATCCCTCATCGGCAGCGGCCCCTTGTACCCAGTGGACCTCGCCGACTTCTACAACGAGTGCAACAGCCTTGAGTGCCTCACCCTCTCTTGCGACCGTTCCGTACTCGAAGCACTCCTACTGTCCGACTATCGTATCCTAAAACTCGTCCTCAGCAATGCGAGTGAGATTTGGTTGCAACAGATCAACGACCTGCTCATTGAGCTGCTGACGGAAACGGACATGTTGGAAGGCGGGACGTTGGAGGTGCATGTGGGGGCACATTGGGATCGTGAGGGAACGGCTACACAGGATGAGCTGGAAAGACTGTGTAGGACTAAGGGTGTTGCTTTTGTGAAGGTGGGAGGTTGGAATTGAGCGGGCAATGACAGACGCAGCACATTTGGGTCTGGGCAATCGAGTGAGTGAGGTGTGTACTAGAGAAGACAACAGAGGCGTGTGCTGTGCTCAGTAGGTTTGGACTTGGGCCTGCTGTATGAACGATCTGCTTTTCAAAGTGGCCTGAAGAAAGCTATGCAAACGAGCATCAAAACAGAAGCTTTGCCAGCAGGTGAAAGATGCAGGCAACGTGGCAGCGTCAATACTGATATCCCGAGCTTTCAAAAAACTGTATTCACCAAAGCAACAAATACTCAGCAGCACACGCAATGAACAGCAAGGTCTCATGATTTTTCCATCATTAGCGGTTTCGAACGTGCCGGCAATGCAAAAAGGCTAGCGGTTGTAACACCTCTGCGCTCCTACGAACAGGTCAAAAGTGGACTCAGCCCCTCCGTTAGTGTGTCCATAAGTAGGAAACGGTCCGTTGAGCTGTGAACCACGGGGCAATGCGGCAAAAAACGAACAAGAAAGCAAAAAATGAAGTTGAGGCCCGAACCGCGGATTGAACGCGGGACCTCTCCGATTTCAGATGAAATACCCAAACGGAGAATCATACCTCTAGACCATCCGGGCGTACATTAGATTCGATGAGCCCGTAGTGTCGTCCGGTGTAAACACGTGGCCCAGGTCACGTGATAGATAAAAATGAATGGTAGCGACCTATTCGCCCAGACCATACCACCGCATCCCACCTCCTCTCCCTTTGATCCCTCCCCCCCGGCACTCAAGTTGCCGCCGCACCCCACCCTTCGGTGGCACAGCCTTCTTCCCCAACAACCTCATCAAGGTGCGCCGGATCTGCCTCTCATATCAAGCTGAGTCCGTTCTACACCTTTTCATTGAGTGCAAAATCTGTATTGAAATTTAGGCTCTAGCTACAGATAACACCATCCCCCCACCCTTCCCTCCAACAACTTGTCTGCCTGTCACCGCTCTCCAAGCACCTCCTCCCCTCCTTCCTTCGACAAACCCGCTTCATCCACAAGATCTGGATGAGTTCTGCTTTAAAAGCTGATCGACTAACACATCTTTCCTCCCAATCCCTTCCACCGACCTTGCCTGCAGTCCCGCGCGCGTCTAAGGACGACACGACACCCGACGCGCCCTCCATTGTGCTCCCCTTTCGTCTCCTCCCCCTCCCCCTCCCCCTGCCCCCTCACCCCTGGTTTAAATAAGTAAAGAACCACCGCCTGAGCCCCACACTCCCAAGCCCTCTCTTGCTCGGCGTGCGTAAACTGCATCTAGCTTTGTCCTCCACTTCTCGACCGTAATCTGCTGCAATTGAGTTGACAGGTTACCAGAAACAATAGGTGATATGTCGAGAGAGGAATGATGCAGCGTACGGAGCATTAGGTTTGATCTTTCGATAGGTTGGTCGCGAAGGACCGCTCGCGGCGGGCGACATGAGCTCTGCTCATTGTAGACGAGACGAAAGCGGAAGGGCAACGGTGAGAGAGCCAGAACTTCTCCTCCGAGATGCAAGGTTGATGCAAATTCCAGCTGTGGCCTCCAGCCTGCCCCCACTGGGATTTTTGTGTCGCTGAAGGTACAACGTACCCACGAAGGTCAAACCTGTCTTCCGACACTCGGGGCTATTGTTGAAGGCCCTCCGCTTCGGTCCACCCGCACAATCTAACGTTTGCTATGATAAAAACAAGAAAGAGGTGAGAATCTTCGACACCTGCCTACTTCCAGGTCAAATGCACCGTCGCATCGATTCATCGCCGGGTTTGGTTCGTCTGGCTGAAGCAGACGACGTCGACGGCGCGGGCGACAGGCGTCCGGAGATGTGTGGATAAAGCCGTCGCGACCGCGTCCGGACTTCTGCCAGCAGCTTGCGAGAGCAAAACAAATGGAATGGAACGGTTGTCTCTTTCTTTGCTCCGAAGGTGCGGTCTCGGAGATGTGCAGGAGTGGCGGCGGTCTAGTTGGAGCGCAAAGGCCACGTGTTGGGAGAGAGCTTTCGCCGGCCATGAGCGGGCTCGGGGATGAGCGATGCTGTATTTACGAGTCGAATTGTAGATAGTGCGGAGTGCTCGTGACTGCAAACAACGGGTGTAAGCAGGGACCCGGCTGAGCCCGCCCCTGGTGGACGACTGAGGCCGCCTGAGCCCGCTGCGAGCCCCCGGGAACGGTGGATGCGTCCGCCTTAGAAATGGGGCGCGCCGAGCCGAAGGGGAAGGGGTCGCGGTGGATCACCGCTCGTTGCCTTGCCCTCCACCCTTCACCCTCAGAAAAGTCGTAAGTTTTGATGCATTATTGCTTGTGGCGATACTATGTACTGATTCGCTCGCCTCACCTTCACACTACTCGCAATCTCGCACTACTTTCCGTCGTCCAACTGTTGGCTGCCGTTTCGTCATCGGTTCGCTCACCTCCGACCTGGTCCGCAACCTGCACACTTTCAGCCATACTTCGCCATGACCACCGTCCTCGACCAGCTCAAGCAGTACACCACCGTCGTCTCCGACTCTGGCGACTTTGAGAGTCAGTCGTCCCATTTCTTCCTGTACTTTTGAGCGAGACCGCCGGGACGAGAGGAGCAACCCCCCCACTGATGCGCCATCGATCTCAGCCATCGCCGTCTACAAGCCCCAGGACGCGACGACCAACCCCTCCCTCATCCTCGCCGCCGTCAACAAGCCCAACTACGCCAAGCTCGTCGACGTCGCCGTCGCCTACGGCAAGGAGAAGGGCGGGTGAGTGCGCGCGCACACGCTCGACCCCCAACGTTTCGGTCTCGTCGCTCGGGTGCGCTGACCTCGCTCGGATTGGTGCCTGCAGAAACAAGGAGGAGGTCATCGAGAACACTGTCGACCGTCTTGTACGTTTCTCTGCTTGCTTTCGTGGCAGTCGATGCTCCGCCGAGCTCCGAAGACCGATTTCTCGCGAACCCGCGCTGACCCGTCCACGTTTCGTCCCCAACGTCCAGCTCGTCGAGTTCGGCAAGGAGATCCTCAAGATCGTCCCTGGCCGTGTCTCCACCGAGGTCGATGCCGCCCTCTCGTTCGACAAGGCCGCGACCAAGGCCAAGGTGCGTCGTCGCCCCCGCTCGCCCCAACCAGCACCCCACACCCCGCCCGCTGACGCTCGCGCACGCAGGCCAAGACGCTCATCAAGCTCTACGAGTCGGTCGGTGTCTCCAAGGACCGCATCTTGATCAAGATTGCTTCGACCTGGGAGGGTATCCAGGCCGCGCGTGAGCTCGAGGCGGAGGACGGCATCCACTGCAACCTCACGCTCCTGTTCGGGTTCGAGCAGGCCGTCGCCTGTGCCGAGGCCAAGGTCACCCTCATCTCCCCCTTCGTCGGCCGTATCCTCGACTACTACAAGAAGCAGAACCCCGACGCCAACTACGAGGGCAAGAACGACCCCGGAGTCGTTTCGGTCTCCAAGTAAGCCCTCTTGCTGATCCTCCCCGCGGGGGGGCGTGGGCGCGCGCTGGAACAGGACGAGGAACTGACAATTTTGGTGCACTTTCGCAGGATCTACAACTACTACAAGGCCTACGACTACAACACCATCGTCATGGGTGCATCCTTCCGTAACGTTCGTCCTTTGCTCACCCACCTTCCAGGACCCACTCGCTAACCGGGATTCTTGATCTCTCAACAGACCGGCGAGATCACCGCGCTCGCTGGCTGCGACTTCCTCACCATCGCCCCCGCCCTCCTCGAGAAGCTCCGCACTTCGGAGGAGAAGCTCGAGCGCGTCCTCTCGCCCGAGATCTCGGCCTCGTCTGAGAAGCCCGAGAAGGTCACCTTTGTCGACAACGAGCCCGCCTTCAGGTGGAGCTTGCTCCAGGACTCGATGGCGTTCGAGAAGCTGCACGAGGGTATCAAGAAGGTGCGTTTTTCTGTCTTTGCGAGTCGGGGCTGTTGGCCGATGTCGCGGGAGTGGTCGTGAGCGCGAGGGCAACACCGAGCTAGAGCTGACGATATCGCTTCCACTTAACAACAGTTCGCTGAGGATGGAGAGACCCTCAAGAAGACCCTTGCTGCCAAGCTCTTCTAAGCGCCTTTGACTCCTCCGACTTGATATCATTAGTGCCCTCTCACCCCTACCTTTTTTTGGACTCCCCAACACACCACGGTATCTAGCCTACTCTACCTCCTTGTTCACGAAATAAGAAAAAAGAAAACGACATAGTCCAAACATCTAGTTTCTCGGCCGTAAGGGTTTTTCGGAGAGCTGTGTTCGCTCGTCGATGTGCGTGAGGCTTTGGTGCTTGAGGGTCGACGGGTGTCAAGGTGTGCTTAAACCAATAAAGGAAAATTCTTCAGCTATTCGATACTCCTTGAAGGGCTTCTGTAGCGTCTTCTGCTCTCAATCGAGGCGGACTTTCGCTGAGGAGCGCGCCGGCCGAACGCGCTGACGTGGCGATGGCCTCTCGAGCATGACCGTCGAGGCATTTCGAGCACGATCAAACCCTCACGTTGGGCCATCAATGGTGTGCTCTCAGCGATTCTATTGCACGATCTTTCGAGTTGGCGGCGTCCGTCACACAGCCTCTTCTCGCCCCCCTCTCTCATATGAGCGCCCGCTGTCCGGCTCTCGTCGACGCGCCCCTCTCTCTTTTCCTTCCTACTTTTCGCATCGATAATTGTCAAGGTATGCTGCTCTCAATCTGGTAAAGCAATTGAAAGTGCTCATGTACCCCTGCATAGATGGCCAGCTCTTTCCGGGCACCCTTCGCTGACATGGGCGAACCCGACTCGATGGCCCCGGCGCAAACGCAAGACGCCCGGCCGACTTCACTCCTATCCCGATGGGCGAGGATGCTGTTCACCAGGTTTTATACGACCTTCAGCTGTACACTGAGGCGGTTTGGCCTGGAGAGTATGGATGGAATCCGGAAACGGTCAGCTTCAAGCTGAACAAGAAGGAGCCGAAGCCGGAGGATAATCGGATCTGTGGGACGTACAGCGAGAACAAGTTTGAGTGGCAGAGAACGGAGGGGATTTGTGAGTGAAAGAGTAGGGGCTAAGTGTGATTTCCGCTGATCGTGGGGGGTTGGTAGTCTTCCGCTTCTTGTTCATCTACGACTCGCAGAGCTTCGTTAGTCCTTAAGTCCGCGCGTTGGTGGGCGACCACTTCGTCGAGAGAACGGGCCTCACTCTCCGTCAGTTGCTTCGCTTGTACTGCACATCATTCAAACTGCTAACCGGATTTTTTCACCCCGAGAATCACGAGCAACTCTCCGCCCACGAGCCTCGTCCTTACATCCGCTGCAAAGTCAAGGCAGGCTACTGCCTCAACCACGGGCAAAAGCACAGCAGGGACGGCGCTTCGGCCACCAACCACAGTTGCATCAGGATTCAGATCTTCAGCGTCTATCAGGAGAATGAACACCTCACGATCCATCTCATGCGTTCGTCCACACACTTTTTTCCTTCCATCCTCTCAGAAGCGCTCGCTCTCGCTGACGTGGTTCTTGATCTTTGGGAACAGCGGAAGGGAAGCACGAGTTGCTCTCCTTGGGGAACTACAGTGAGCACCGAAAAGCTTCTGCTCAGAGTGGTGCCGCTATGATTGCCCGAGCGGAGCAAGGGATGTTAAAAGGCTGAGCACGT